TCTCCGACTCAGGGGGTGGAGGAGAGGGGGGGGGGGTTAATGATGATTATGGAACAGCGACGATGACATCGGTGACGGATGCACGACGATAGGAATGAACGATTAAATGGCGAAATGGAACGATGAGTCGCGGAGACCAAGGAGGGGAAGCACACACACTCAACACAACCGTCACATCGAGCTGGCCTCGCGCGCGGCCATAGTCCATATATTAATTACTTACTAACTAATACACAGTCTGTCTCCGTTGCGCGGATGACTCTCTCCTCCTTTCTTCCCTTCTTCTCGGGCGCCATGTAAGTATATGTAATACACCACGTTAAATACGCGTGTGCGCGCGGTACGGCGTTGCCGAGCTATGGAGCGAGCGATAGCGCGCTTATTAAGCGTGTGTGAGCGAGTGAGATGCACCTTTGCGTCTCGTTTTGTGTGATAAAGTTATGGCAAAATACTCGGCGCAGGGGTGCCGCGCCAACTGCCCGCACGCGCGCCTTCTTTCCGGCTTATTATATATACGCACACGCACACACAGGCATGCTTGCGCCAGTATAAAGTGTATATATGTACACATATACATACGACATACCATCCATATATATATATATATATATAATATACTCATATAGTTTAATTATTTCATCGTTATTGGTAATTATCATTATCTCTTAAAATTCATCAGTTCTCGTAATTCAAAAAATTTCAGCTAGAATAGCGGTGGATGGAAATGTTTTTTCGTTAAAAATCGCCAGATCACCGAAATCGGCGCCAGCAATCGATCGTTTTTTTTTTTTTCTAACACATTTACAAATTATCGATCGATCGATATTGCGGCTAATTCCCTCACTCGCGGCTCTCTTATCACTAGTGTGTTTCATTATTACATTCATTTTTAAAATCACTGGCGGTGCAAACGATGCGCGACCACCGCGCGACGAGGAAAACGATCTCGCCCCACTTTTGCACTCTGCTTCGCCGCCGAGGTGCGATCGTACATTTAATATCCTATTACAATTATTCATGATTTTTTTTTTTTTGATATCTTATATACAATTAGCACGTTGCATGCGCGCAGTAATGTGCTCATGATTATGGCCACACCTACAGACTTGGCGACCTTTGAGAAGACTTCCTCGACATATATTGTTAACACTTAGTCATTTAATTAACTCGCGGCATTTTAATTCCGTCGGGGTTCTTCCAAGTTCACTCGCGATTCGCGTTAAGGTGAGAAAACTGGCTTTTGCACGGAACCTGAGACAATCGATTACAAGATAGGCCAGTCCCCTTTCGTTCGCATCGTCGAGAATTATAACCGGACTGCGAGTGTCCGCTCAACAGGGCAACTCTTGACGAGCGGGTTTCGTCATCGTATGCTTCATGGAGTTCATGGTACATCAGGGGTTATCCGCCGCCATTATGTTGTGCACTTGCTCGAGTTTGTATGCCAATCTCTGCTTCTGCGAGAACTCGTCCTCCTCGAGAGTGACTATCAGTTGTTCGTTGTATTTACCCGCGTATGTATATAGTTCATATAAAGCACAGTTCGTGTTAAACTCCGCTGTGTGCAACTGTAACAAAATTCGATGTGTTAGGAATGTTGTAACAAACATTGTTTTACAATTTACACGTACGGATACAGAAGTGGATAAATACCCTCGATTCTTCGGCAAGCATTGCGTTCATGTCTTGATCGGATATGGCTGGCATCACTTTGATATCTGAGTAGTAACGCTCTACCCATTCTTTGTACACTGGAATGTCTTTCGCGTATAATAGTTTCGAACTCGGAGAGTCCTTACCTGAGAATAACAAGAGAAAAATATTTATCTTTATCTTTCCGAAATGCAACGCAGGCGTAAAGATTAGACAAAAAAAAAAAAAAAATTAACGCACCTAATCTATGGTCCGACGTTGAGCAGCTATCCATGAACGTTTGCGCCACGACGGAGAGACACGAGTCCACGATGTTCGATTTGTGAATGTCGAAAATAAAGTTTGGATTTTTGATGAGGTTAACCCAAAACCTGAGAGGAAGTGAATTGCTCTTCCACGTGTGGACCACTTCCGGGTCGGATATGCCGTGTTGCAAAGCTTGGTCGTCCATGAAATCGAACATGTACTTGATGGCGAGGGGAAGTGCTGAACCTCGGTGGGCAGTGCTAAATATGGTCTCGAAAAGATCGTCGACAAACTTCTGGAGCGTACCCTTCGTTGCTAGTAACCTCGTGAGATAAATCTCCGAGACCATCTTGTTGCCGCGGTCTCCCTCTTTTCGTGCGTCAGAGTCGTGGTGCTTCACGAGATGCCAGACCTTCATACCACCCTCATGATTCTGATTGAGCGGCGAAGTGGCGCGGGAGAGCGGGGGACTGGCCGAACTAAACTTGCTAAGATTCAAAGTCTCATATTTGTGCGATTTGTCCGTCTTTTCAGACAGAATTGAAAGATTATATATAGACGATTGTTTGGAGACTAAATTAAGCGACGCTCCATCCGGTACCCTGTAATGATTTAATGTGTTTCTCTTCTTCCATTCTCCCTCGGTCTTCGTTGTCGAGTCTTCGTCGTAGAGAATTAATCTACCGGACGCGCCAGTTCGCCATTCTGCAACACGCCGTCAAGTGCGATTAAGAATTGTGCAAAATGAAAATTTGCGGAATAGCAATTGAAATATTCAAAGCGTTCCCCTACCGAGATCAAGATCCTCCTTCCGAGGTCTTTGGCTGTAAGGTGTCGCTCGGTAAATCGTATCCAATGCTTTTTCTTTCACCTGAGATATTGTGTCGCAGTCGAGAACTTTGACCGGTACGTTTTCCGTGTTGGGATCCATTCCGCCGACAAATACGGTTTGTTGCGATATTGAGACATAAACCGTCTGAAATTTTAATACAAACATTATTATGAAGTACCAACTCATCTTATTGAAGTACGTCTTATCGAAGGACGTATAATTACCATTGGCTTGAAGTCGATGGATTGTCGGATCAGCTTTTCCTCAGACAAGGAGTATCGTGCCTCCGAAGTAATCGCATCCACAGGACCCTTATCGACCTGCTGTTTCACTGCGCGAAATAGCACGTACAATGGTTCACCGGCGCATTCTCTCATAAATTTATACAAGAGAAACGTGAACCAAGCAGACAGCATTTTCTCAGCAACGCTCTCAGTTCTGGAAAAGAAATAAGTTATTTAAAATCATAAATATTTTCGATATCGAACGTCAATAATTGAAAGCACGCGCAGTGTGCACTGACCGTCTCAGGAATAATTTCGGATGGCTCTTGCCTTCCGTGCACTTCTCGATGAGATCTGCCAGAAGAGTTTTCAGAATGTCCGTGCAATACTCCATTTTGCTCTGAAGTGTAACCATAATGAGGCTGGCAACGTTGACTCGATCCCGCATCGAGAAGTAGCGGTTGCTCTCGAGCGTTCGTACAAACAGCAGTAGGAAAGTTTTATTCATTATTAATTGACCGAACAAGCGCAATCCCTTTTCCTTTCGCGCTAATTCCGGCCTGTCCCCTGGCAGCACTGGACTATTATCGTCACTGGGGAATAGTATCATCATTGCATAAGTGCGATAATCAAGGAAGGGTATGCCGCCGCTGGTCAGGTCTCCGGTGAGATCGGTCATTTCTGTTTGCAGCTCGGCGAAGGCTTCTTTACACTCAGCGGCGACGCGTAGCTCTAGAATGTCCATCTGCTCCTGCATGTTCTTCAACACTCGATTGCTTTCGGTAGATTTTCTGCGGTAGGCGATGAGGAATGCTATGAACACGAATACTAAGATCACAATAGCGGCGATCACGCCGATGAGCGCGGGTTTCGACAACGGTCCGTTGAGTCCGGCCGGCAGTGCGTAACTCAGCTTGCCGATGTTGTAGCGAAGCGTACCGCCTACTATCAGCACGACCTCCGGTAGCTCCTGCTTATTGGGCAGACCCTGTGCGTCGATGGCGGGCGGCTGCGTCAACGGCGGCCGACAAGTGAGCTGCTGCCGCGATAAGGACGTGACGTTGCAGAAGGCATTGCCGATCTGCACGACCACGTCGGACTCCTGACAGGCGCGATCGAGATGCTGGCCGTTGATCGTCAGATAATCACTCTTGTAATACTTCACTTCCTCGTCGAAGACCTCGTAGATCGGATTCGGGTACAAAAGGAAATGGCTGAAGCCGTGCTGCGAGAGGTTCTGCACGCCGGTGACGTTGTCCATGCGGAAGCCGTACTCGAGAGCGAGCGGGCGTTCCGCGTCCAGCATCACGTGTTCGGGCACCTCGATGGTCGGCGATTTGCACACCATGCTCTCCTGACTGTGCACTTCGCACTGCGACACAAACATCTTCTCGTCGTAGTAGACGTACATCTGCGGGCTCTGTATGTAGCCGAGATTCTTTCCGGTCACCGAGATCTTTATTCCACCCGCCGGGATCCCCTTCGGGACCTTCATCTGGCCAGCCACGCCGCTCTCCACGCTCTCGATCGTCGGATCGTCGACGTACTCGAAGAAACCGTCGTATAAACGGTTGCCGCCGTCGAAGGACATCTTCAGCATGCCGCTCCTCTTCCGATCGCTCGGGCTCGTCATACAAAGGGCCTCGTTCGGCTCGGCGCTTATTATGGAGCAAGGCAGATCGTCGATGTCGGCGTGGATAGTGCTGCCGGCGTTCATGTAGTTGCCGGTGATCTTGATTGTGGTGCCGCCGCTCAGAGGTCCGTACTTGGGCGATATCGAAATAATTTGTGGATCGACGAACTCGAAGTTGTAGGTGGACTCGCCGCGAAAGTCCTCGATCTTGACGATGACGGGTCCGCTCTTGCCTTCCTGTGTGCCGGGTCCGTCGACTCGGCAGACGATCTGCTTGGTGCGAATGTAAAGCTCCTCGTAAGGCAAGCATCGCATGCCAGCCACAGTAACGCCGCTGACTATGTCCTGCAAGGTGTATCGAACGATTAAAATACATCTAGTCGATTAACATAGTAGACCCTCGCATAACACGAGGAATATGAATCCGTGTTATAACGAGTCGCAGGGTTATACATATATGGATTATGTATGGATATGGAAACACATATTTACAAAAGATGTAAGGGTTTGTTATAAAAAATGTAAAATAAATATTAAAGATATAATTTTTATACGGAGGGGAAGAAGCTTTGATCGAAAAAGTCGCAGCAGGTGGCAAGAGATACAAAAAAAAATATTTCTACACAGTAAACTATTCATTTAAAGATGTAATCGTTAAATATTTTTTATTTTACTTTAAAACAGACAAGTATTAAAAAATAAAAAATGTTTCGTCATTACTTGAAGTAAAAGAAACGGTTAGTTTCATTGTCATTTATTTATTCGCTCTCGGAACTATGAGCGCTCTAGACTCGATGCTTCATTCGATCTAATGCTCCAATGCAATGCTGCTAGACTGCTATTTCGGCATAATGCGTCATAAACAAAATAAAAAAAAAGATTTTACGCGATAGTTTCCATTCGGATGTAAAGTTATACGAGCCTGTTTTATCGTGTTATACAGACACTGTCACAATTTTTCTATCGTGTTATACGAACCCGTGTCATATGGGGGTCTACTGTAATTGATATTCGCTGTACCAGCGATGATATAAATCCTTGCAAAATGAATATAAATGTTAATATTACATTTTATAATTTGAAACATCTTTAAGAACATTGCATAATGCTTATATAATATTTTTTACTTCTCTATCTTCTCGTTCATTAATTATCCTAACATATAAACGATGGAGAGCAATAATGGATTAAGAACGATATGCATTATGATGACGAGTACATAAACGAAATTACGTTTTCCTGCAGTTACCTTGAAAGTTTTGCCGAGATTGATGCCACGTATCGTCACATTCGTGTTGCCTTCCCAGGGTCCCATTATTGGCTCGAATGATTTGATCTCTGGATTTGGACAGGTCTGGTTGCTGTTGAGCCACATGCCCGAGCCGCGGTCACACTGATCTTTAACTTCGCACTTGAATCCCGTCTGGCACCAGCCGCAGCCGTATTTCGACGGCAGAGCTAGACACATGCCGCAGTTGTCCGCCATGTCGCGGCATCGATATATCACCAGGTGTATATTGTCTGGATTATCCAACGGTTTGGAGCCGCCCCAGATCACGGCGAAGGGTACCGTGATGTTGGGCGCGCGGGAGGTATAAGAAAACTCCGTTTCCTCGCAGTAGATCGTGTCGGCCAGCAGGCGCGCGTTAACGCTCGTCACGCGACCCTCGATGTTGAATTGACACACGAAGCGTGTTTGTATGATGAATTGCTGTTGAGAATCGCGCTTTTTTACAAAAGGCGACGTTCGTAAGGATGTTATTAACGTTTAAAAAAATTTCGAATATAATTCTTACATACGTCGTTTTGCGTATGTAAAAATTATAAAACTCAATCAACTGCTAATTCAAGTCGCTTTGCGCAAATCATGAGATTCCATGGTAAAGCGACGTGTCAAAATAAATAAGATAAACGTAATAACAAACTTAGGAGGGAAAAAATATTCCATAATAATGTAATGATATATAGAGTAGTTTTTACATACCCCAATGATATGCACTTTCACTCGTATCGCCTTTTTGATACCAGCAGCCACGAGGATCTCCTGAGATTCGGTAGCGTTAATAGTGGGACAAAAACCTGGCCCACTTCTATAACTTGGTCCCATTCTCTGCAAGATAAACAATATTGTTAAAACGCTTATATTTTTCCTCCAAGCTTTATCACCGATTTTTATTAACAATTTAAACTTTTTTGCGGTACTACATTATCGCTACATATTTTGAACTGTATTTTTGCATTGTATCTCTGTTTCCATTCCATTTAAACATCATGCTTCTTTGTTCGAGTTTCAGCCCACTTGATTATTTCAAACATTATACGATGCAAATAATAGAGAGAGATTCTCAGTATTAAATTTTCATCAAAAATTACAAATTAATTGATAATCATGCATTAATATTCATAGGGTGAACGCAACGTTTTAACTCCAAAACGAATCGAGTTGATATTGAAATGAAATTAGTCGATGCATGTTAACGCATAATGCAACAACAGAATCGCAATTTTGGCTCAAAACTGGGCGTTGTGAGTTTGCAACACATATGAATCGCTTATCTTGAAAATGATGCAAATCCTGTTTTGAAACATTAATAGCTTCAGAGAAATAGATACGCGATTGTAATCGATTTAAAAATTGTTTAAACTGAGTGCAGTTTTTTCGAAATTAAGCTCATATTATTTTCCATACAATTTTCCTAAAATGAAGAAATAATCTTACAGAGATAAAGTCTATAAATTATCAATGTGTGTGCGTGTGTGTGTGTCAATTACTGCAGTTTTGGAGAAACGTTTTAATTTATATTAATTACCGTAGATAATTAAGTATCAAGTACGTAATGCGAGAGAAATTCTTGTAACACTGTCTCGGAGAAATTTCTCTAACATTTATATCACTTAATTGCTCTTCAATTTAAGAAACATTTAATTAAGAGCGAGACTTACGCTGACTCCTGTGACAAGGATGTCATTACGACAATTCTCCGCTGTATCGTGTGTACATCGATGACCGTCTACGCACCAGTCACACGGAAAACTCGACGACACGCATTGCGTGCACGAGCTGTACGTGTTGCAGTCGAAGAAAGTGAAGTTCGTCGCCACCAAATCGGGCCCGTTTGTCATCCTAACGGACAGCTTAGCCGTGAAGTGATGCCGGCCCGGCGGTATCGACGGCAGGAGATCCGTCCTCGGGGTGGTGCAATTTACGCCGTAGGATTTCCGCGAGGCGTTCGTGATTAGGGTCTTGTCGAGGGCGGAGAATGCGCATAGGAACTGCCCGGACAGAGTTGGCAGGTTCTCGATAACGAGTTCGAGGGTCCTGGCGGTCGTGCGTTGCAGCTGGTCCGGCGTGACGGCCGTGATGGTCGTGCATCTACCGCTCTTGTAAGAGATCCAATAGAGCGGGTCCTTGGCCGCGTCCTGACAGTCGCTGCGCAAATTGCATTTGTTCTCCAGCGAGCACCAGCCGCAGTACGGATCCTTGGCGCCCAGACAGTCCCAGCAAGTTTTATAGACCGAGCATTCCTGCACTTTCACCTTCGACACCTTCTTCTCCGTCAGCACGTAGAGGTGCATCAGTTGCGAGTCGAACAGCAGATCCGGATTCACTGGAGAACCGGGATCGATCTCCAGATCGCCGTATTCCAATGCTAGCGTCGAACTTTCCACCACCACCTGAAATAAGAATACACTTTTTAAGTAAGTTGAACTGGCAAAGTTATAAAATTGATTGCAGTTATAGCACTGATTTAATCCTTCAGAACATTTTTCACTAATGTCATTATTTTTAACCAATAAGAGAGTTGATATATCGAGTTTGATCAGTCACTTGCAAAATGTAGCACATTTTGGGCTTGACATATTGTTGAGAATGTTTCATTATTAAATTATAGTGTTTCATACAAAATTTCATATAAAATTAAAATTATTGACAGAATAAACGAGGAATTCTGCCAATTCGCTAAAAAGTCCGAAATCGATCGTAATTGTTGGATTTGCGCAAAATTAGAGAGACGTTGATGTAGATTGCAGTTAATAGACTTGTATAATATATTTATCGTAATACCAGAGTATTTTCGTATCAACGAAACGAGGATGACACGCGAGCGGAATGAAGAATTAAATATTCACGACGGAATGATGAACAACTGCTAGCTCGGCTAGAGCGGAGTAAATATTACTTCCGTTTAAGTATTTATTGAGTATTAATTATCGATATTAGTTCGATGACGGACCACTCATTGCGTATTCCGTTTCTTCTGTCGCAAAAGTGAACATTTCCAAAAATATTTCGCATACGTAGACCCATCGCTCGTGATGCATCGCCAATTTTAATAATAATGATATATAATAATTCGACGCGGTCACGTCCGGCAGCGGTGAATTTTACAACCCGGTATTTTAATCCTACATTACGAAAGTAACATGAATATTTACGTCGTCTCGCGCGGATTCGTCCCCACAAATTTCCCAGGTGGTTACCGTGTCTACTGAGTTTTTGTACCTTCAATGCCGCCGGTATAAAATTGCAGCCGCCGAAAGTAACAGCGTAGCTGCAATTTGCACGCTATTATTTTAATGCGAAATTCTCCGCGCGTCGCATCTTTTCCGCGGCCGTAGTGTGGTACAATCATCTCCCTACCAGGTGCACTTGCGCAGCATTCATTTTCTCAGACCTTACCGCAAGTCTCATTCGCGGTCGCGTTAAGGGGTCGCAAATTAAATCCCAGCCTGAGACGACGGGAGGCTTTCAATCGACAGCGAAGTGACGACGGGCGGAGACAGAGCGAATCGTGAAACAGACGGAGGAGGTTCCCGGGACTAAAATCGTCCGCGGGCCTAATAAAAAGGTCATACTCTGATATTGTAATAACAGTAATCATCAGAGCGAGGCACGACGTCAACGACGTGGGTCGCTTTAGCGGTGGCGTTTGGCTTCATTGTGCCGAGGTATTCAAGAATGAATGACATTCGCTGCGTGTTTCGTAGTTATTATTGCCCCGGGAATTCCTCGTTACGATGATCGCAGTTCTGTGGGTCTTCCAGTTCTACAAATTTAATTGGCTAGAAGTTCTTTATAAATATATATTTTTTCTCAGGTTTATTTCATTATTTCTAAAAGTATTAATTTCACAAATTTTTCGATTTTATCACACAAATATCGATTTTAATAATAATGTAATGTAATATGGAAAAAGATCGCACACGTACATTGCGAGAAACAAACTATTCTGCCGAGGCAGAGATGGAATAATTAAGCATTTATATGTAATTTACAACAAATTGAATTGAGAGGGTAAAGCGGAGTTCGTGACAAACGCGTAGCGCGCAGTTACTATTCCGATTTAATTAGCAAATATTAATTAAGTCGCGTCGCAACGCATCGTACCTGAATATAAACGACGGGAATCAAGTCAACGGACATGTAATTTGCAATAATATGGTAAACACCTATTCGACTATTTTACAATGTTCATTACAATGATAATTAATGTTTTTTAATGAGGATACAAAAATGGATTATGATTCATCGTGTTGAGAATCTTATAATCGCAAGCGAAATGTACTGCACATACAACGGATTAGAAATTTAATGGACAAAATAAATGTTTTCAATCTCGTTTTAGGTCAACCAATTTTCGAATAACGTGTTATATAATGTAGCTTTTGAAAATTTTCCTAGCTTCATGGCTCAAGTATTTAATTGAACTTGGATGTCTCGGGTCAAGTGATTTTCGCTTCTTCGTTTTTTTTTTTTTCCCTAAAGAACTGTTGCATCGTTAATCGATACAACTTTACAAGACACCGAGGAAGAGCGAGGAGTAGACGAGTGCGGAAGAATCCTAGACAAGGGCCAAGGGCTGTCCACTCTATACCGATCAGCATCCGACCTTTGGCCGAGTAATGAGTCGTTACTTAAGACAGGTAATCACGGCGCGGTAACTATGTTACAATCTTCGTGTCCGGGCGCGGGACGGGCGGCAGGAAAATAATAACAATAATTACGAGGCTACCGAGTGTTAGTGGTGGTGGTTAATTCTAAGGTTCGCCCACGTATCCGCAGCTGGGCTTTTTAAGCGTGATTTCGCTCGCGCCGATATATACGGTAACGCGAGTGCGATGTTCGCGCGTCATTCGACCTCGGCGAATCTCCGACCAACGTCGACGCACAAAGGAGCTTTAATAAACGCGCGGGGATAAAGGCGAGGTCGGAGAGGTCGAGGATGAGGCTGGTGGGACGAGAGTTAAGGGGAAAGAGGACGAAGGAGTAGATAGAAATTATTTCTTAATGGAAGAAGAAGCACTGTGAGGGAGACGCGGACGGAAAGGAGGTACCGCGTAATGATGAAGAAGAAGGAGACAGGGCGCGCGCAGGCGAGAAGCTTGCAAGAAAGTTCCGCGTAGACAAATGCGAGCACAACCGAGGAGAGTGGGTTGACGAAAAAAAAGAAAAAAAAAGAAAGATACAAGCGCGATAAACTTTTGGGAATAAATGAACGAGTGGGAAGAAAAATGTAAGCTAGACGAACGTGAGAAAATTCGCTAAAAATAAAATACATCGATCGCTGTAATGGCTTGAAATTTAAATTTTTATAGTGCTCTGTATAATTTAGATTATGAGGAAAGCAAGCATCCAGTAATTATCCAAATTCCATAGAAATATACTATTAATCTTGCACTTGCATGCAAGTTTGCTGACGACGACGGCTAAATCGCTTAGGCATCCTGCTGCAGCAGGATCAAGGTATCGGTAAGAAATAGCGGATATTAGTTGATTGAAGTGTTACTTAATTAGTCTTCTAGTGTTTCGCGTCTAAATAATAGCGGCTAAAATGAGCCTGCAGCGAAACGGCGAGTCTTGCGATTGCTGTTTTTCAACCATTTCGCATGATACATCGATGCGGCGCTGGATTGGATTTTTTACAGCAACAAGACAAGCACAGGTGCAAGGACGTAGAAGAAAAATGACGCATAAAGGACAACGTTGAAAAGACAAGAAGGAGATTAAGCGCACGGCGTAGGATGAGATATCGGCTTTTCCCGGCGTCTCGACATCCAGCCGATGACGTTTAAACGCGAGGATAATAATAATCGCAACGCTACTGATAAGTAGGCGGACGTCTTAATTAACGCAGTTCGCTGATCGCAGCCCCGCTTTTTCCACCGTGCGATTGCATGCGTGTCTATCTGCGCGCGTATTGCGTGGGCAACGCGCGCCGATCAGCGCGGAGCGTCGCGCCGTCGCGATAAAAAGCGAATCGAACGTCGACATTCCTGAATCGATTTCGAGCCGAGCGTGTTTGCGCGTTCCATGTAAGGTGCTCGCGCATTAATGCCACAGCAAAATCCACGCCTTAAACTCGTTGCACAGCGAATGTGGCTGAACGCGATTAATGAGACGTGGGACTCGCGTCTCTGTTAGCGCGCGCGTAAGAGTAGCGATTCTCCACCGATCGAAATAATCAATCATTAATTATGGATCATCGTAGAGTTCGCGAACGTCATTAAAGAAGCTGTGTTTATTCGAATGCTTGATGAATAGTTTCTTATAAAGGGCGTTCAATATATTCTCGGTAACGCTATAATAGATCATATTTAATATAATTGAGCTACATTTTTATGGGCGGTATTCATAGTCCGTTCTTATATTCAAGATCGTCTTAAGCACGAACTTATATTCGCTCTCTTTGTCAGACACAATCTATGTGTGACGAAGAGAGCGAATATAAGTCCGTGCTTAAGACAATCTTAAATATAAGAACGGACTATGAATACCGACCTATGACGGCTTAGAAAAATTAATTACTGGATGTATTCAAGATTATATTAAACAATTTTAAAAATATTTCTTACTTGTCTGTTTTCTGTTAGTTAACGAGAGCGTGAGAACAAGCGTCGTCTTTGTGCGTACGATACGGTTTCTCCTTCGTTACAAATAACTGATACTCTAAAAATAGTACATTTCCACGTTGTACAAAGCAATTGTCAGAAAAAGCGAAAACTTGAAATATCTATAATTGGAATGAAATTTTACATCAAACATATTAAACAGAAAATACTATTAAGAACTATAAATTTATAATGACTAGTCTTATATATTCGATAGAAATAGTCGGTCGCTTTAACGACTTGCCATGAGCGATCAATAAATGTCCGATAGAAAATTCCCGCTTCGTACAGGCTTAGGCAAAGTATGAAAAGGGTTTAAAAGCGACGATCACAACAGGGATTCGACTCGAAGCACGTTCTTGCATCCTGTCAAGATGTCTCAGAAAGTACCGACAAGACCGGTGCGACGTGATTAAATCCGGAGGTGCTCTTCACGTCGCTATGCATTTCGACGCAACGATTATGCATCGAGTTACGTATGCGTCCCTCCTTACCTCGCCCCCGTCCGCCACCCCCGCCCTGTCGCACATCCCCCGATCGACGCGCGGCATCTCTCCGGAATTTTTAAATGCATTCTTCGACGCGGTTCGCCACATTCGCCGGGACCTCCCTTCGCGGATACGTCACTGGGAGGAAAGAGAAGAAAGGGATTTCCGTCGTCGGCTCTGCCGGGATGGCGGGAGACGGCGGGGACTGCTACTGTCTCTGAGAGGCGTTCGACTGCGGCGCAAATGTATTCCTGGAGAACCTTATTTCAGGAAACCTTAGCCATCGATCTTATCCAG